TCCATGGGGACATCGTGTGGGGATGTTGAGTGTTGTGTCCATGGGTCATTGAGTGTTGTGTCCATGGGGACGAGGAGGGTGTCCATGGGGATGTTGTGTGGGGACATTGAGTGTTGTGTCCATGGGGATGTTGAGCGTTGTATCCATGAGGACATGGCATGGGGGCGTCACATCATGTATCCATGGGGACATCGTGTGGGGATGTTGAGTGTTGTGTGCTTGGGTCATTGTGTCCATGGAGATGAGAAGGGTGTCCATGGGAATGTTGTGTAGGGACACTGAGCGTTGTGTCTATGGGTCATTGAGTCTTGTGTTCGTGGGGATGAGAAGGGTGTCCATGGGGATGTTCTGTGGGGACATTGAGTGTTTTGTCCATGGGTCATTGAGTGTTGTGTCCATGGGGACAAGGAGTGGGGTGTCCATGGGAGTAGAGTGTGGGGTGTCCATAGGGATGAAGAGTGGGGTGTCCATGGGGATGTCACGTGGGGACGTTCAGTGTTGTGTCCATGGGAACATTGAGCGTTGTGTCCGTGAGGACATGGCATGGGGACATCACATCATGTGTCCATGGGGACATCGTGTGGGGACGTTGGGTGTTTTTGTTCATGGGGACATGGAGCGGAGACGTCACATCATGTGTCCATGGGGACATCGCAGGAGGATGTTGCATGTTGTGTCCATGGGGACAGCGCGTGGGGACGTTGCACAATGTGTCCATGGAGATGTCATATGTTGTGTCCCCGGGGCTCCCTCCCGGCACTGACGTCCCCATCCTTGTCCCAAGCGCCACCACAGGCCGCCATCATCCCCGTGGACACGGGCAACGCGCGGGCGCCCGTGCGCCTCACGTGCCACGTGTGGGGCTTCTATCCCCGCGACGTCACCGTCATCTGGCTGCGCAACGATGACATTTTGGGGCCCGGCGACCACCCGGTCATCGAGGCCACCTCCAACGGCGACTGGACCTACCAGACGCGGGTGACCCTCACGGTGGCCCCCAAGGCCGGTGACGTCTTCACGTGCTCCGTGCAGCACGTCAGCCTCGAGGAGCCCCTCTTGGTGGACTGGAGTAAGTTGGGGGGTGCCCGGACGCCTGGGCCCTCGTTGTTGTCCCCTGTCCTGGGTGGCTCGTGACGTTGTGTCACCGCAGGGCCTGGGTTGTCGCTGGCGGAGGCGCTGCAGGTGACGGCGGCCACTGTCCTGCT